AATATTGAGTGAAATATATGTAGAGAGAGAATAAAATATGTTTTTGATTTTTTTTTTCCTTTTGGCAAAACTCTTCTTTGGGGGGAGGATGTAGAATGCTTTGCCTTTGACTTTGTAAGTGAAGGTGCACTCCTTTTTCGATGAGGGGCATGAAGTTTTGCAACACCTGTTCTCTCTATATTGTTCCTCTATCTGAAGATGAAATTCTTACTGAGATTATTGGGAAAAATCTGCAGAGTGATAGCAGAATGGTATCCTTTGTGATATGTTTCATGTTTAAGTTTCTTTGTAAATCATAAGATGAACGCAGATGAACTTCAGATATTTCCTCCACTCACAATTCATTTTTCCTCCAACCCAGTCATGCAGTCATGTAACAAAGACATGACGCTGAATTTAGGACATTGCTTCATTACCATGATAACAGTGTATGATGTCATAAGAGGTTCTCATAATGTTTTCGCTGAAAGATCTAGCAGAACTAGAGTTTATGTTGCAAGGGAAAAAAGGCAAATTCACGTATTTTCAATCATTGTGAAGAGAACACAGAAAATTGCTTGCTAGTAAATTTATTAGGTAACAAATTGCTTTTTGTACAGCAGTTGTTTCCTAGTTCAGTTTCTTCAGTTCTTTAGGGAAACAGGTACCTTAACCAATATCGTGTAAGTACTATTATTATTTGAACTCAGGATATGTGCAATCATAATGTAAGTAATCAGAATGTAGTGAGCATTTGTACTTGTCACAAGTGCATTTAATTTTTTCCATATTTTCAACAAAAGAGCCAATGTTGTCAGTCACTAAAAATCAGTTGTCTGACATCTAGTAAATCAGGCATATCTCTGGAAATTTTTCATTTACCCGAGTGGAAGATCTGCATCTTCCAAGAGACATTGGTGAAACATGTCCTAATAAATTAAGAGCCTTCTGTTTACTTTTGAGCATGGGGAGGGAAATGTGCAATTTGAACAATTGAGTCAAATATTAAAGTTAACTATAGGATTGCTTTGAATTATGTGCTCCACTCTGACCCCCTCAACAATGCCATTCAAAACCCCTGGAATAAGACATGGATAGTTAGATAATACATAGCAAAAATCCTATGCGATTCCCAAGAAAAATCCGTTTCAGTGGTGGACCATTCTGGTAATTTTTTACCAGTTTTTCTTTCTCCTATGAACTGCTTCTCCTTGATAGCCCTGTTTTCCTACTTATATAATGCTGTTGCTAACCATAACACGTACATAGATAACAGTCCTTCTATTAGATTCCCAACACATTGCTGATGTCATTCATGCTTTCTAATAATGTTGTCGTTGCTGAAAATCTCTGCTGATTTTGCTTTCTGAAATCGTACAGTAGTGAACATTATTTTCTTTTTATTATAGCATGGATTTTGCCATCAGTAAACTTAAGAAAGCAGGCAATCAGACTGGCGTCTATGTTCTTCGTTGCAGTCCTAAAGATTTTAAGAAATACTTCCTCACTTTTGCTATAGAGGTCAGTATGCTGAACTGAACCGTAAACGTAGCTTGTATTGCACTGAAGCAGAGCACTGCTACATAGTTAGTTTTTTTCACTTATATGCTGTAAATCATTGCGTTTCTATCATCTGTTTATGTGAGCTGTGTGTTCTCCTATTTAGTTCATTCATGCAGTGATTCTCAAACTGTGGGCAAAGCCCTCAAAGTAGCTTGCAACGCCATTTTAATGGGGTTACCAAAGCTGCCATTTGACTTGCTGGGAGCTGAGGCTGAATCCTGAGACCCACTGCTCTGAGTAGGGGCTGAGGGAAGACATAGAGGAGGGAGAGCCAGATCCCAAGAAGAGATTTAGCCTTGGGCATCAAGGCTCGGATAACTTCATGTACTGAGCTAAAGTCCTTTGGGCTTTGTCCCCCATCCTTCACCCAGAGCGGTGGGTCTCGGACTTCAGTTTTCCTCCCCCATCTGGGGCATTGGAGCTCAAATAGGCTCAGGCTTTTGTCTGCACTCCTGAGTTTGTGTAGTAATTCTTCTTGTCTGAAGGGGGCTGCAGTGCCATGAAATTTGAGAACCCTCTGCAATAATGTTGTTGCTATTCACAATACCTTATTTTATTTACGTGCTCTTTATCGGTATACAAGTATTTGGGTTGGTGTAGTTTATATGAAGAATCTTTTTGAATCACAAAATTATCAGTGCACCAGACTTGTCTACCAAAATTTCAAAATATCAAAAACAATAGCTTCGCCCTGGATGTGATATACCATAAAATAGTGCATGAGCTTTTGTGCTGTATTGTAGCAGTGAGTGTAACTGTAACAATACTTTCAAAGCCATGTACATTTCAGCAGATGATACATTACCATCTACACACTAGCATTATTGTGTCAGGCCTTTTAGAATGTACTGTGTTCGAAACTTGGGACTCTTTGCCAAATCAGAGAAACATAATCATTGAAGAAATAAATGTTTTGTACAATTACACTGAATTTCTTTTAGCTGATATTGTAAGCATTTCTGCCACTCAGAGCAAGTTTGTATCATTTCTTGACTTGGTTTTTCTAAGCAAATAATTAGAGAGCTGATGAGATTTGGTGTTGATTGGTATGTTTTTCACAGTGTTAATAAAGAAAGGGTATGTGACAGCATTAAAGGAGAGTCTATACTTTAGAAATAGTCAGCTGGACCTTTTCAAAGTTTGTATTCAAGATATGGGCTGTGTGTTGAGTGTGTGTGTCAAGATTCAGCATGGAGTTAATTATTTAGAACTGTGCTGCAGACAATGAAAATAGGAATCTAACCTAGGTTTTTGTAAGGTGACTGTGATAAGAGTCATAGCTGCATCAGAGCATAGCACTACAAAATACATTTCACTGTTGCTAATAGATTTTCTTTTGAACATTCAAGACGTGAAGCTTATTGCATCTTTGCCTTTACATATCATCACTTTGTTGCATGATATAACTCATGTTAGTAGCAAGAAGGACTCGCTTATAACTGGGGTCATTCACTCTGCTTGCTTTTAAATCTCTTGGTTGCAATTGCAAATGCCAAAATGCTAATCAACACTTTCAGTGATTGAAATATTAGTCTGATCAGTGTCTGCTCAGTTGTACTAGGATTAAAATTCCAAATGACAGTACTGTGACAGATTTCTTGAGACGAATAAATAAAATTTAATACATGGAGTACATCTTGTTTGTATTTTTAAATAATACATGTTGGTGTTTCCTTTTCTAATTAAACATCTCTACAGCGGGACGGCGTCGCTGAGTATAAGCACTGCTTAATAACAAAAAATGAGATGGGAGAGTATAATCTTAGTGGAACTAAGAGAAGTTTTGGTAACCTTAAGGATCTGTTGAGTTGCTATCAGACTGAAACAGTCCGTTCAGACAACATCATTTTCCAGTTTACCAAATGCTGCCCTCCAAAATCAAAAGGTACAGGTTTGTCAACAACACAAGCATGCCTAATATTTTTGAGTTCATTGATTTTTTTTTTTAAAGCAAAATTAGCAGATTAGTATATTTGCCCGACGGACATTTTCATCTCCTTAATCTTTGAGATTTCAGAGTTAAGTCAGCCTGGGTTTGCCTTTGTAAGATGTTACTCTCAGTACTGTGATCTCCTTCCTCAAACCAGGACCATCCCAGCAATCAGCTGTCCTGGGAGAAAGTAAAACTGGCCTCTCTTAATGACTGATGGTTTGCATTCAGCAGCATTTCTCATTTGACCAAATGTTTAGCTGTATGTTTGTATTATGAAAGAGCTGCTAAATTTGCCATTTCTCATTTTAAAAATGCACATGATGTACCATGAGAAGTGGTGTGGAATATTTTTGCCAATGTAAGGCTGTACTTGTCAAAAAGAGTGCTTGGAAACGTTACTAATCAGAAGAGAAGGAAGAGAGAACCAGAATGTTATTGCTAGTTGGAAAGATCTAAGCTAGACATTTGTTTAATTAAATCCTGTAATACTGTGTTATTTATTAAACAAATTGTTCTCTCCCTGCTGTTGTAATTGACATTAATCTTCTTATCAGAGTATATTACATCTGAAATTAATAATTCTGCAGAAACAACTTTGTGCTAAAAATCTTTAACAGATGTTTTATGGATTTTGTGTTTGTTTTTTTTTCCTTTCATCCCCACCTTCTTTCCCTTCCCTCTCAGATAAGTCAAATCTTCTAGTCTTCAGGAGCAATGGTGTTTCTGATGTACCTACATCACCCACATTGCAGAGACACAATAATGTCAACCAAATGGTCTTTCACAAAATCCGGAATGAGGATTTGATATTTGTAAGTTCATTAGTTGCATCTATCTGGCTATTTCCATAGAGAGTTGTGCATAGAGTTCCTGTTTGTATGCCATTTAAAATAGCCTTTTTTGCAGCAAGATGTTTTGCTACTGTAGTTCCTTAGTTAAAATTTTCAAAAAATGTCTTAAATTTGGGTGGCCCTTTAATAAAATAAATAACTGTTTTTATGTGTCATTTCCTTTTTTATTACCCCACCCACTGTTTTCTCCCGCTTCAAAGAGGCTCACATTCTTTATATTCCTAGCATCCAGTTTCTTTGCAACAGTCTGTCCCCAAAGATCCCCAACCAGTGAAAGGGGGAAAATAAACTTCATCTAAACAAATATAGTTAAACTCTTTCCAATATGGTTATTCTTCATTTTTTGTCATCTGACTCTTGACCCTGAATGTATTAGCTTTAAAAGTTTTCCACATGCATTGTTTATGAAGAACTTTAAGTGATCAGTGTTTTCCAGAGTTGGCAGAGAAGGTTCTCTGATTGCACCTTCCCTGTTACCCCAACCTTTTTTATTTTTTAGAATGAGAGCCTTGGACAGGGCACCTTTACTAAGATTTTCAAAGGTGTAAGGAAAGAAGTGGGAGACTATGGAGAGCTCCATCAAACTGAAGTCCTCTTGAAAGTTCTGGATAAAGTGCACAGAAACTACTCTGAGGTTTGTCTGGTTCTTGGGTAGTAATATATCGATTACTTCTTGTCTGTAAATAATTACTATTCTTTGTCATAGAATCATAGATCCTTAGAAGGACATCAAGTCCAGCCCCCTGCCCAAGCCAGGACCAATCCCAATTAAATCAACCCAGCCAGGGCTTTGTCAAGCTGAGACTTAAACACCTGTAGGGATGGAGTCTCCACTACTTCCCTATGTAACCCATTCCAGTGCTTCACCACCCTCCTAGTGAAATAGTTTTTCCTGATATCCAAACTGGACCTATTTCACTAGGAGGGTGGTGAAGCACTGGAATGGGTTACATAGGGAAGTAGTGGAGACTCCATCCCTACAGGTGTTTAAGTCTCAGCTTGACAAAGCCCTGGCTGGGTTGATTTAATTGGGATTGGTCCTGGCTTGGGCAGGGGGCTGGACTTGATGTCCTTCTAAGGATCTATGATTCTATGACAAAGAATAGTAATTATTTACAGACAAGAAGTAATCGATATATTACTACCCAAGAACCAGACAAACCTCAGAGTAGTTTCTGTGCACTTTACGAGTAAAGAGGAATAATCAATCTTTGTTACCATGAACAATTGAGGCTGTTCTATAGTAGATGGTTACATTTCTGTCTAAACCAGGGCCAGGTTTTTTCTTGCACTGAGCATAATTTTGTGTAGAAGAGGAGAGTCAGGAAGCCAGTTGAGGTTTTCTTGTTCTCTGTCTTGCACAGCTGCAGGCAAGGTACTGCTGCAACTAAGCTACACCATCTGACAATGGTCCCAGGGCACCATGTCCACGTACTGAGAAATGGCAGAATGCAGCAGTGCTTCAGACATGCCCACTTCTGCCCCTGGTACTTTATACTTTGGGCCAAAGGGACTGGTGCAGGGGCCAGCTGTAATGGCTTCACACCATCTAAGAGCTTTTTCCCCCTGTTGCCATTGGGAGAATTCTCAGCTCACCAATTATGGCCAGTGTTTAGGGCCCTTTGCATCTCCTGAGCAGCAGAATGGGGCCAGATTCAGAGAGAGGATTTGGCCCCAGATTTCACCATTGATCAAATACACTACATGCAAATTGCAGTGAAATGCTTTAGTTCCAAATTTCTGAGCAATGAATCACCTTCCATTTGTTATAGCTTTCTTTGTGGAGTTCTGTTATCTGTCACAGGTTAAAAAAAATTCCCTGCGAGCGCTCCTCACTTTCTGCATGTGTAAAGCAGCAAGTTTGTGGCCCGTGGTGTGGTTTGAATTTATGCAGGGCTCAACCTGTGGCTCACAGGTGGGAGCCAAAACAAAAAAGTAGTCAATATAATGGTCTTCTGTTGATATGCATTTTAGTAGTTAAATTCCTGGACTGTCCTTGCTCATTAAAAGTGCTGTCATATGGGTGGAAATCAGGTAAATATTGCATTTTATTAATATCAGCAGAACTGACTTAAATGGGGCCTGCGTGTTGTGTAGTCTTGCCTTAATCTTTGTATTTATGCCCATCAGTGTGAAAGAAGCTATTTGCATATATTTGCATATATATTTGTATGCATATGCAACCACACTTAAGTTGTGGCCCTCGGCATGTGCTGTGAGTATCACTGTGGCCTTCGGGGCTTCCAAAGTTGACTTGCCCTGGTATAAAGCTTTCTTGTCCACCCATTTTCCTAACATCATCAAATTAGATTGCTAACCAAACCATGTGCAAGCCAACAAGATGAAATCTGTTATACAAAATCCTTGCAATAAGTTAGAAATTGAAGTAATGTAAAAATGTGGGTGGTTTTAATCTGTTTAATTCCAAACAATTTAACTTTTGATTTTTCATCAATGATTATCATTCTTTGTTCCTTGCACTTTCAGTCTTTCTTTGAGGCAGCAAGCATGATGAGCCAGCTTTCTTACAAGCATTTGGTGTTAAATTATGGAGTATGTGTCTGTGGAGAGGAAAGTAAGTAAAATCAGTTATATTTATATGTATTCATTTCAGACTGCTCCCATTACAGTCTCTGTTCTTGTGTAAAAGCCTGCTGCAAAATTTATTTTATTTTATTTATGTTTTTCATCATATGCCAGGCTTTTATATCAGCTGGTTCTCCTGGTTTTGCCATGTGTATTTTGTCTTCAGGTAGATTAGGGTTAGTCTATCCCTTATCTTGCAATTATTTTTCCACTCCACTCCTTTTATGCAGACCATAGGCATAGATTTTGCTAAATAAAATTTGGTTTTCCATTTTATTTTTTCATGTGATTTTTCTTAGTTATTTTAGTATCATATTGTTTTCCTTCTACGAGTCCCATTTTGCAAACAAAATAAAACATAGCAACAGTGTGTCAGAATCCATATTGTTTTCTTCGCTCATGGGAGTACTGAAGAGCTCAGTCTTGAAACAGATGTCCCCTGAATGCAGCTAAAGGGGATTTGCAGTGATTTTTTGTAAACAAACTTGTTTAAGATTCTAAATCCTACTTACCTGTTTCATACAATGTAAATGCTCTTTTATTTTCCTTGACTGCTCAAAGAATGTTGGCAAATCCCAAAGGTAGCTCCTGTCCTACATTTGTTTTGCAGCTTGGCTTGAGCTTCTATGATTCGAGAAACAACATGAAATAAATAGTATAAATTGCAGGTTCTCAACCTTTTATACAGTGGGGGACCCACTATCCCCGTTAGCAGTGTAGAAGTGTAGGATTCCACAGATTGAGAACAATGGCCATTATCAAAGTTATTTTAACATTGTTTTGTGGGTGAAAAAGGATTATTTTAAATTGTTGGATGCAAAGTCATTTTATTTTAATAATTACTAAAAATATTTAGTACAAACAAACAGCAAATGGTAGGCAAGCACTTACTAATTGTTTCTCTTACTGCCAGCAAAGGGACACTGCTCCCACTATTTAGTTGCAATATTTTTTTAAATTTACATTAGGGATTACATTAAACAAAGCCAAGCAAAATCATCACAATTACTAATTATGGCTGTTTTATTATTAAAGAAAAGAAACATTAAACAAAACAATACAAATGACAGAATACAAGTGATAGACTAGTGACTTTTTTTAATAATGGAGATTGCCTATCTCATAGAGCTGGAAGGGACCTTGAAAGGTCATGGAGTCCAGTCCCCTGCCTTCACAGCAGGACCAAGTACCATCCCTGACAAATTTTTGCCCCAAATCCCCTGTGCAAGGATCAGGGGCAGATGACTGTTTTGCAGAGCCCCAGGCAGTGTAACTTCACAGGGTCCCCCCTTTGCCACGGCGCATGCACCGTGACCCCATGCACATGCGTGGTGGCACCACGGCGCATGCACGGGGCTTTTTTAAGTGCAGGGCCCGGGGCGGTCACCCCATTTGCCCTGCCTTATCTCAGCCCCTGGCAAGGACAACCCTGAGTTTAGCAGGCCAATGCTCAAGCCCCATTTGCCCTGCCTTATCTCGGCCCCTGGCAAGGATTGAACTCACAACCCTGAGTTTAGCAGGCCAATGCTCAAACCACTGAGCTATCCCTCCTCCCACAGGACTTCTAGTACATGTTCTTCCCCACATATAGACATATAGAGCTTATAAATGAGATTAAATCCTTGAGTCAGTCACCTGCTAGAGGTATTTTTTTCATGATAAGTTAAGACCAAAGTATATTATTTCCCAAAATTAGTCTCTTCTCCAGCAATACATGTTCTAACCATCTGATGATTAACAGGAGGAACAAATAAACATGGTTGTTAGATCACTAATAAAAGGTATCACTTCAATCACTTTGTGTGTCTAATATGCTAGGACTGATATGGCTACAATTGCACTGCATAGAAGAAACAGTCATTTGCAATACTAGCATTTTCATAACCCAATAAAATTATTACAGGAGTTTAAAGATAATCCCTTAGGCCTGGCCTACAGTGAAGGGGAAGATCGATTTAAGACACACATATCTTAAATCAGGTTTTCACACCGTCCGCACAGTGGGAAGGTCAGCAAGACCAAACACTGCTGTCGACTTCCCTTACTCCTTGTGAGAAGCAGGACTACCAGCACCAATGGAGGAACCTTCTCAGTTCCAAGTAGCAGGTCTTCACTAGACCCGTTAAAAGGAACCCAGGAAGATCGACTGTGGCAGCATTGATCTTCTTCATAGTGTAGACATGGCCTGAGAGTCTTAACTTTCTCTTACCAATCCATTTTGAAGATTTGGGGGAGGTATCTTTGGATTCATTTATTCTTGAGACATCTCTGTCACAGTTGTATTGTGGAGCATTATTTTGAGCAAGATAGCTGAGGATATGTGTAAGGGAAAGGATGCACTACTCATTTCTGAGTTTTTGTACTCTTCTCTCTCCAATTTTCTCAGGAAAAAACTTTTCTTTGGGGCGTGTATCAGTTCAAAATTGGTTGCTGTCACTATTTGGTTGGCTTCATGCCTGGGGGTTGGCTTAGGGGACACCTTCAGTACAGTCTGCTTGGTTAATATGCAACATTTATTTCTGCCTTTGTCTTTCTTGGGACAGGAAAGATCCATTCCAGATCACTTTTAAAGTGTTATAGATGACTCTTTTTATTCAGTTCGTTTTCTGAGATTTTTTTTCAGTTTTGTTAGTTTCACAGAAAATTAAATTCTGTTTTTCAAAAGTCCATATATAGAAAAGTTTTTAGTTCTCAGAACAGTCTTAAATTTGAATAACTGTTAGAAAGTGTTGAGTTTAAAAAATTAAAAGTTGTTGACTTTGAAAGTCAACAAATATATAAATAAATTATAAATAATCTATATTTAAATGGCATCAATGTGCTATGCATTATGATGCTATCCTGAAACCACATTACTTTTATTCAGGGGCGCTGGAAAAACTTTGACATTGGAGGTACTGACAGCCACTGAACTAAGCTGTAAATCTTGTATATAATGGAAACCACTTTAAGCCAGGAAGTGCTGCAGCATACTCCTAGTTCCAGCATCTATGCTTTTATTGTTACAGGGTGTGGGGGCTGGAGAAGAAGTGCAAGTTAAAAAATTGGATGTTTCTTATGAGTAGCAGTATGTTTATTAAACAAGATGGTGAAAGTTAAAAAATTGGATATTTCTTATGAGTAGCAGTATGTTTATTAAACAAGAATGAAAAATTAACAAGTCTGTTTACCTTTTAACCTCTTTAAATCAGATATCCTGGTGCAGGAGTATGTCAAATTCGGATCCTTGGACACGTATTTGAAGAAGAGCAAAAATTCTATCAATATCTTGTGGAAACTGGAAGTTGCCAAACAGTTGGCACTGGCCATGCATTTCCTGGTAAGTATTTTTTTTCTTTTTTAGTTGACGGTTAAATTCATATTCTTCCATTACAGAGACAGGTACTATAAGGCCCATGGGCAGATTCGGCCCACCAAGCCTTTTGTTCTGGCCCACAGCCTACCCCACCCAGACCTCAAGAGAGGCTCTCTGCATGCTGTAGCCCAAGGATGCTCCAGATGACTTGCGACGATTGGCTGGGTGGGTGGGGGGACAGCACATGAAGGTTTCCCCTCTCCAGGGGCATGTGGTCCCAGAGCGGCACATTGAGGGAGCCTCCAGCTGTTTTACGCAGTCTGGGGCTACAGCAGGCAGCGAGTCTGCCTCAGGGTCCCCGTTGGGCTGCTGGCCATGAGCCACCTAAGGTAAACACCTTCCAGCCAGAGCCTTCCTCTGGCATCCCTCCCATTCCCCAGCTCTTTGCCTGGGATCACTCTCCCCTTCTTCCCCAGAGCACCACCCAAATCCTCTGCTCTCCTCTGCCACAGGTTAAAACTCCCTCTCAGAGTCGGCACACCTCCTGCACCCCTTTCCCAGGCTGGAATCCTCCCCTGCACCCATATCCCCTCCCTGACTCTGCACCCCAACCTCCTGCCCCAGGTCACCACTCAAACCCTCTGCATCTCTCTTCCCCCAGGTCACAATTCCCTTCTAAATGGTGCACATCCTTTCTCAGGTCAAAATCCTCCTGCATAGCCATCCCTCAGGTCAAAATCTTGCACACCTCTCTCTTAGGTCAGAATCCTCCTGCACCCTTACCCCCTCCTGGACCCTGCACACCAGTCCCCTGCCCCAGGTCACAATCCTCTCCTTCACCCAAACTCCCTCTCAGATTCCATACCCTCTCCTGCATCCCAGTCCTCTACACTGAGCTCCCTTCTGCACCCAACTTCCATCCCAGAACCTGCATGCCCTCCATAGAAAAGTGTGGCCCTTGACACTTTTCTATGCTCTTTATCAAGTGTTCTCAACCGCCAGTCTGCGGACCGATGCTGGTCCATGAACCGCTGGGCCATGTCGGCTGCTGGAGCTCAAACCGGCTATTGACAGCAGTTCAGCTCTAGCAGCCATGGTGGCTGATTTTTCCCACCTCTGGGGCTGAGGTGGTGGCAGAAGGAGGCAGAACAAGAGGTGCTTCCCTTCCTCCTTCTCCCTCCCACCCAGGTAAGGTGGCGGCCCAGCCAAACAAGACACACTTGGGAAGGGTGGGAGTGCAAAGGAGGAGGGAGCATGTGCGCCACCATATGCACTGGAGCTGAGGTGGCAGCAGGAGGAGGTGGAAGAGGAGGTGCCTCCCTCTCTCCTCTCCCCTCCCATCCCCCTAGGTAAGATGGTTGCCCAGCTGGGGCTCTGCACTCCCCTGCCCCTACCCATGGGAGTGCAAGACGTTCTTGGGGAGGGAGGGGCATGAAGGAAGAGGCCGCTCTCCCTGCGTGCATAGCAGTAACGGCCACGCTTCCTAGAGGGGCCAGCCAGGCTCTGGGGAGTGGGATGGAGTCAAAGGGTACGGAGGTACGGGTGGGGGACAAAAGGTGTTAAGCACTGGGGAGTAAGGGGCTTGGTTGAGGCTAGTTGGACAGGCAACATTTTATTTGCATATTTGCATAATTAACATGCAAATAAAATATTATCAGTCTGCCAAAAGTTTGTGAGTGGGTTTGCTGGTCTATGATATAAAAAAGGTTGGGAACCACTGCTCTACATCGTCTTTCTCCTTATTCTCTTCTCTTGTGTCCCACTATTCTTCTGTTTTCTCTCTACATTTTGCTAAATTGACTTTTCTGACTGCATCCTTTACCTCCGTTGGTCTTATTCCTTCTCTCCTGCTACTCTGTAAGCAGCTATTATTTTGTCCTGGTTTGTTTACCATATGGTTCCTTTTCTCCTCCTTGGAAATCCCAACTGAAAAGTGACTTCTTCCAGGAATCATGCCTGCCATTGCTCTCCCTTTAACTTCCTCAGCTCAATATAAATTACCTTCTAATAAGGCTAATAGCTAACAGCAGTAAAAGCTCCTGCAATGTTCAAATTACTAATCTGCTTCAGGCTTTATTTGATATCTGCCTACTTATAGAAAGTTTAGTACAGCTATCTAGAGTTGAAATCTAGATAGATAACTGACGTAGTTTAGTTTGTTTTCTAATCAGAGAAGGATTAGCTGTATTGTTGTATTTGTGCGTGCAATATTGTGATCTATGTAGTTTCCTAGATTAACATTTTCTTTTTACATGCCTGGTGGATTTTACCTTAGTTTATTTACATAGATATGTATTTGTCTTTATCAGGAAGATAAAAGCCTTGTTCATGGGAATGTATGCGCAAAAAATATCTTGCTTATCAGAGAAGAAGATAGGAAGTCTGGAAACCTTCCATTTATCAAGCTTAGTGATCCTGGCATCAGCATTACCGTTTTGCCAAAAGACAGTAAGTCTTGATGTCTGCTGTCTTTGCTATTGTTCGTAACATTGAAAATATTTGTATTTTTATTCCTCCCACCTCTCCTTGTACTAATAGCTTTATTGTGACAAATGTCTCCAGTCCCTAAAACACCATCACAGATGGTAGATACAAATACATCTTGTTATCAACACATGACTGTTGAATAGTTTTGTCTGGTTTGAAATGAGTCTGTGCAAATATAGGGGCAGGTTAAAGTGTTGCCTTTTGGAGATTGGCATTTCAGCACAGATTACTGTATGTTGTAAGCAAAACATCTTCTCCAAAAGAATGTTTGACCATGCTGTACTTGTGGCCTGTTGCTGGACAGATACTGTATTTTCCGGCGTATAAGGCGACTGGGCGTATAAGACGACCCCCTAATTTTCCAGTTAAAATATAGGTTTTGGCCTATACTCGCCGTATAAGACTACCCCCCCTTCCAAGGCAACACCATTTAATAACATCAGATTTGATTTTAAATAATTTTAATTAAAATGGTTTTGACTTACCGGTACTTAAAATCCTTCAAAATCCTCATCATGTTCATCCTCTGACATCATAAGTTCATCAATGACATCTTGTGGTACATTTATAAGACAGTCATATGGATCTAAACACACACACACACACACACACACACACACACACACAAATAAATGATGATCACCTGTAACTAGGACGAAGTAACATTGCTTCTGATTTTAAAAGTCCAGTAAGTATCTTCTTCTTATAGCCTCTTAAAGCCAGATCTGAGGAATTTCTACATCATTCTGTTGCTCTGACATGAATGTCCTTCACTAACCATCAAGAAACAGTAGTTCCCACTCAAGATTGAGAGGGTGAAAAATCATGCTTAGTAGTTTTCAGAGGGGGCATAACATGCTGACTCAACAACAAGCAGCTGTGTGCACACAGAGGAATTTAATTGTTTGAGTCTTCATCATTTGATCAAAATGAAAACTGGAAAGTTTAGGATAATAGCACACCACATAGTTTGCTTTCCTAAGGTTGCAGCATCCTGCCAACATATGAAATTATACAGTAAAACTGATTAAAATCAAAACTTGATCAGTTTGTTTTCATGTTCCAAACTGAATACTGTATAGCAAAAATAAGTAAGTAAGTAAGTAAGTAAATAAATAAATAAATAAATAAAAGGTAAACAATATCACTGAAGAAGACTACCTTTGATTTTAAAAATGTTTTCATTTGAATAATCTATGGTATAAAACAGCTAAGGAAATTGGTTTAATAATATATCAATTTTTTTACCTAACTGTAACTTTAAAAGGAAAAAAAGGGAAGACAGTGAGAATGGATATATTATATATCCATCTTATATTCAGTCAACAGATGCATTCACTTAGGCATGTCATCCTGATTATTATTAATTTTTTTAAACTCCATTTGAATGTATTTCACAGCTTGTAAAAGTGACAGAAAAGCAACATATTGTGAATATATGTATCATCATTCTCAAGAGTGAAGGATTTCAGATGCTCAGCCTGAGATGTATTGGCATGGTTTTGAAAATAAGGTCCCCAGAGTTTCAAATTGGGCACCTAAAAAATCACTTGTTACCTTTGAAAATGCTTAAGTTTCTATATGCTCTCTAAACTTCTTCTCATTATTATAATAAAGCACTTTAATCCTAACCCGCAGTGACTACCGTATTTTCCGGCGTATAAGACGACTTTTTATACTAAAAAACATCCCCCAAAAATCGAGGGTCGTCTTATACACCGAGTATAAACATACTGTAGCTTCGGCTACATACAGAACGTCCCTGTGCTGATACTGTATGTACCGCGCTGAGCCAATCACGGCAAGCGGTGTCATCTATTAATGCATACAAAGCCTGCTCGGATTGGCAAAGGTTGTAATAGCCCGCCTCTCTGACTCAGCCAATCCGAGCAGGCTTTGTATGCATTAATAGAATACACCGCTTGCCGTGATTGGCTCAGCGCGGTACATACAGTATCAGCACAGGGACGTTCTGTATGTAGCCGAAGCTACAGTATGTTTATACTCGGTGTATAAGACGACCCTCGATTTTTGGGGGATGTTTTTTAGTATAAAAAGTCGTCTTATACGCCGGAAAATACGGTAGTCACTGCGGGTTAGGATTAAAGTGCTTTATTATAATAATGAGAAGAAGTTTAGAGAGCATATAGAAACTTAAGCATTTTCAAAGGTAACAAGTGATTTTTTAGGTGCCCAATTTGAAACTCTGGGGACCTTATTTTCAAAACCATGCCAATACATCTCAGGCTGAGCATCTGAAATCCTTCACTCTTGAGAATGATGATACATATATTCACAATATGTTGCTTTTCTGTCACTTTTACAAGCTGTGAAATACATTCAAATGGAGTTTAAAAAAATTAATAATAATCAGGATGACATGCCTAAGTGAATGCATCTGTTGACTGAATATAAGATGGATATATAATATATCCATTCTCACTGTCTTCCCTTTTTTTCCTTTTAAAGTTACAGTTAGGTAAAAAAATTGATATATTATTAAACCAATTTCCTTAGCTGTTTTATACCATAGATTATTCAAATGAAAACATTTTTAAAATCAAAGGTAGTCTTCTTCAGTGATATTGTTTACCTTTTATTTATTTATTTATTTATTTACTTACTTACTTACTTACTTGTTTTTGCTATACAGTATTCAGTTTGGAACATGAAAACAAACTGATCAAGTTTTGATTTTAATCAGTTTTACTGTATAATTTCATATGTTGGCAGGATGCTGCAACCTTAGGAAAGCAAACTATGTGGTGTGCTATTATCCTAAACTTTCCAGTTTTCATTTTGATCAAATGATGAAGACTCAAACAATTAAATTCCTCTGTGTGCACACAGCTGCTTGTTGTTGAGTCAGCATGTTATGCCCCCTCTGAAAACTACTAAGCATGATTTTTCACCCTCTCAATCTTGAGTGGGAACTACTGTTTCTTGATGGTTAGTGAAGGACATTCATGTCAGAGCAACAGAATGATGTAGAAATTCCTCAGATCTGGCTTTAAGAGGCTATAAGAAGAAGATACTTACTGGACTTTTAAAATCAGAAGCAATGTTACTTCGTCCTAGTTACAGGTGATCATCATTTATTTGTGTGTGTGTGTGTGTGTGTGTGTGTGTGTGTGTGTCATTTTATATTTACTACTGGCGAACAGGAACTTGAGAAGAGTTGAAGTATTTCATTCTGAAAAATAAGAGATAATTGTAGAAACTCAAAATTTGGCTAACTCTAATGTGTTTAAAGTAGAATTAGCAGAAAAAAGTAGACACTTCAGTATTATTTTTTGACTTGTTATGTTTTCATGTTTACATAGTTCTTCTTGAAAGGATACCCTGGGTTCCACCTGAGTGCATTGAAAATCCTAAACAGCTGAGCTTGGCAACAGACAAGTGGAGTTTTGGTACCACATTATGGGAAATCTGCAGTGGAGGAGACAAGCCCCTTGGTGCATTGGATTCTCCCAGAGTAAGTGTTGGCAAGTAGAGTTGTTATTACTGTATCTGTGAACTCGGTGGGTTTTTTTGTTGACTGTTCTTTCTAGTGACCTTTAGATTGTATTTTTAGTGCATTAGTGTGTTTGGTGTTGCAGAGTCCAGCCCCCAAATCAGCCAGAGCAGAAGTGTTTACAGGTATAAAAATGTCTCTCAAAATAAAATACAACATAAAAAAACCCAGCGTTATTGCTCTGTAATATTGTATGGCTTTCCTGGATACATATATAGTTAATCTCTCTTGAAAACTGTCAAGTGAGTCCCCTACGTGGAGAACCCAGCCCTCATAAAAGCTTTACACAAACTCACTTGTGTTCATCACAAAAGCCTAATCTTGTTTGTGGGTGCTGTTGTGATTTCCTAGTAGCTTCCTCAATGAGCACATTCCTAGCAGAGCCACTGGATAGACACTTTCTGGCAGGAGAAACATCTGAGATACTAGGCCCCCTTTGACTCATCCACGTACTCTTATAATAAAAATGAGGCTTCTTGAAGCTAGAGACAGAACTCAGCTAGAACTTTCTTACTGCTCCATCCTAGTTAGGCTGCACAGAATTACCTGTGCAAAGGAAATAAGTTCTTCCTTTTTGAAACCAGAAATAGCTGTTCTGAAGCAGAAACCACATTTGCTACAAAGCTGCCAAGAATGGTAATTATATGTTAAAGCATTTTTTATGTCTTTAATCCTAGAAGCTACAGTTTTATGAAGATAGACATCAGCTTCCTGCTCCAAACTGGACAGAACTAGCAAATCTTATAAACAGCTGCATGGATTATGAGCCAGATTTCAGGCCTTCTTTCAGAGCCATTATACGAGATCTTAACAGTTTGTTCACACCAGGTAAGCTTGTGGAGAAAAGGGGACAAACTTTTAATAGTAGGTTGTAAACTCTTTAGACCAAGAGACATTGTTTTGTTATGTGTATGTATAGTACCTAGGATAATGGGATCCGGGCCCAAGGCTCTACCACAGTGTAAACAATAAAAACGATAATGAATACATTTTATTGTTTTCTATTAAAAGTGAATTTTACTGGGGGCTCACTCAATACATTTTTATTATATTGTAAATATTTCAAATATATTGTCAAGATTGAAATGCTAGCTTCTTAATGAAGCACATTATATGAGTGATCCTTGTATTTTCTCCCAGTAGCTGTGGTTTTACTCCCAACTTACCAACTGCCTTTCTGATTTTTTTAATTCCCCGCCCCCTCCCCAGAAATGGAGCAATTGAACATTAGGTTTTATAGTTAAAGCAGCAAGGATTGATTTGCAAAAATGGATATTTGGAAATTCTTAAGAGAAGAGTTACTATGCATCAGCTGTCATGACTAAGTTCTTTGGCCCGGAAGCATCCAGACTGTCACTCTAACTTGTTGGTTTGTAGTAACTCATTGTTTAGGGCAGCAGCTTAGTAGGTGATATCTCAGTTCAATCCATTGTTAATGTTCTGCTGTGCTCTGGGTAGACATAAAGAGGAGCATGTCAGCATAATGACAACATTTGCTCTTTGATAATTTTCTTGGATTTTGCCCAGATTATGAGTTATTGACAGAAAATGACATGTTGCCAAATATGAGGATTGGAGCTTTTGGATTTTCTGGGGCATTTGAAGACAGGGACCCAACGCAGTTTGAAGAGAGACACCTTAAGTTCTTACAACAGCTTGGCAAGGTAGGAAGTTTGAACTCTAATTGGCTGGAAGAAATAAGGTTTTTACATGTAACTGGGGTTCTTTATGATGACTGCATGTTCTCATGTTTTCCACTTGGGAGTTTTGAAATGTCAGGTATGTTCTACAATAGAAAATTAGGTTGGTTTAATTAAATGTCAGGCAGGAGAGAGATTAGTACCACTGCCGCCATATGCACATGGTTTGTGTCAGAGTACGGGGAGAGAAGACTCAGTTTCTCAGGCAAAAGGGAGATATTGGACTGAGTGTAAATAAGTGAGGCAGGGGATAGTTCTCAGAAGAATTAGTTAGGAAGGAGCAAACAGAGTACACACTGATGATCAGGAAAACTAAGACAAGCATAGAAAAAAAGTTAGCAAAATGCAGGAAGGGGAGAGCCATTATAGGAGGCAAATAGACGATCAAGAAATAAAGGCAATTGGAAGATGGTAGAGGGGAAAGATACTGGACCATGGATAAAAATAGAAAATACTGTAAAGGTGCAGTAATAGGTGAAACATGTTCAGAGGCTGTAGTGGAGTCAATGCTGTTGGTTTAGCCCGTCCCAGCTATTAAAGTGTGACGTTTTAGTGGGGAAGAAATTGTTTGGTTAAGGAGGAGAAGAGGGAACAGAGGTTGCTCCCCTTTCTCTAACCTGATAGAAATGTAGCCGTGTTAGTCTGGTGTAGCTGAAACAAAAAACAGGACTATGTAGCACTTTAAAGACTAACAAGATGGTTTATTAGGTGATGAGCTTTCGTGGGCCAGACCCACTTCCTCAGATCAAATAGTGGAAGAAAATTGTCACAACCACTATTTGATCTGAGGAAGTGGGTCTGGCCCACGAAAGCTCATCACCTAATAAACCATCTTGTTAGTCTTTAAAGTGCTACATAGTCCTGTTTTTTGTTTCTCTATCCTGTTCTCCTTCCTGTCTCAGTCCTAGTGTTTCCCCTTAATCCTGGTGCAGTCATACACAGATGGGGAAGAGACTTAGAGATAGGGTTTTTTTTTTTTTTTTAGTTAAAGTGTTTCTGTTTATGGTCCAGGGTAACTTTGGCAGTGTTGAGATGTGCCGGTATGACCCACTACAAGACAATACTGGAGAGGTGGTGGCTGTGAAAAAGTTACAACATAGCACCGAAGAGCACCTGCGAGACTTTGAAAGGGAAATTGAAATCCTTAAATCCCTGCAGCATGATAACATTGTTAAGTACAAGGGAGTGTGCTACAGTGCTGGTACGTAGAGCATTTAACATGCCTTCCTTACTCTCTCTGCTTATTCATCAAAACAAAGCCAGAACTCATTAAATGTTTTCATATTGGTGGAATACATTTCTTGACTATATCAGAGCTTTTATAGATGACTTGGAAAAAGAGTCAGTGTCCATCATGCAGTGCTTCATTATGCCAAATGGACACAGTTTCATCACGTTAATCTGTTGCAACTATAGATGAATATTCTCTGATAGCCTTTTTAAAACCAAACAAAAAACATTGTAACTATTTGCAACTAGTCATGTTGTGAAGTGCAGACAGAAGTCCATGTAGAAAGTCATCAGTAGTTCCATGAAATTGTGAGGGGGAACCTAAATATTTCTTTAGCTTTTTTGGTTTTGGCTCACTGCTGTGTCTCAGGAGAGTGGACTGCGAAACTCACCACTTCATGGATTTCCTGTATGAAAAGAGAATGGTCAAGGAACATTTTAGAAGCTTTAAAGTCATGAAGTGAAATTCTCATTGGTAGTGTCAGGAATTCACCCGTGGTCTTTGCTTTTAAAAGCCTTCTCTTCAAATCAAAATGAAGCTTTGCAAGTTTTTAACATTGCTGACCAAGATGGCAACTACCATCTTCACCTGTGTAACTAGGTAGAACTTTAAAAGCCTAATTTCAGTTTTGTGTTGGGGTTAGTAGTTAAAACATGAATCAGATATAACTGTGGACAGGGAAATAGTTGCTTGCTTCAGATGAAGATGAGGTGAAAATGTTTCTAAGTATAAATATTGTGGTTTAGCTTTCAGCATAATATAGACACGCAAATTTACATTTATGTTAATGTGTGTTAAAATAGATAATGGCACATGGCCAATCAGGCTAAAGGGCATTACTAAGCATTCACTGACACACTGTTTAATTAAAATACTTTCAGGAGTTAAAGAAAAGTTTAAATGCACTTCTGTGATTGTCTGATTACATTGCAGTAACAATTAGATTATTTTTTAGGTAAATGGAAATATGGAAGAAGATTGCCTTTATAAATTCTGATTTCAAAGAAAGCAGGACTACATTGCTGCATAACGTGTCTCACTCATTTTTCTAATCAAAACCAGGATATGTTGAAATTGAGTAGATTTGCTCTCCCTTGCTGCCTCATTGGAGTGATTTCCTCCCTCCCCTCTGCCCCCGGGCCTATAGATTTAAAACAGTTTTGTTAAGTGGCCTCTTATCCAACCCTGTAAGGACGTCTTGGGAGAAATTGTTTAGTAATCTTAAAAGATGATAGTATAACAACAGCCTACTGTGCTCAGAAAGGAATCTTCCTTCCCATCCCTCCATTCTCTCTACCCCACTTCTACAAGACTATATTACTATTGGGTTGGTGTATTACTAGAATTGAGATTTGTTAATCATCTTCTGAAGCAACAGATATGACAGTGAATTCCACAGGGCGAAGCTGTGCTATGTGAAGTAGTGTTTCATTTTAGTTTGTGTGTACTTACCATTAATTCACAATTATGATTGGAGAAAGTAAAACTGAGAGACTGATTAACGTTCATTATGCTACTTCATTAGAAAATAGTTCGAGAAAAATTGTCTGCTGTGGAGCCTCTTAAAATGGCCTAAATCTGTTGTATTATCTGTTTTTCAGGCTAAGCAGAATGTATTGCAGAAACTTATGCTACTGAAGGTGTACTCTAGATAAGCCACTTGAGTATTTCTAGTATAAAATTGCTGGTAAACTAACAGAGAATTCTCCTTAGCTTCTAATGGCTGTTTCTTCATTTATGGAGTCATTAGTTTGGTCTAGGTTAAATGAGTCTGGTTGTATATTTATTTACTTTACCAGAAAAGTGTCAAGCTGTGAGAATTTGAGGTTTGAGTGAGAGGGAATGTCTGTGAATTACTGGAAAACATGTACATACATACCATCCAAAATCCATGTGTTTTGCAGAGCTCATTGCACATTCTGTTCACATTAGCACCTTTAAAACATCTTTCAAATTTTAGAAGTGCTTTCTCTAAAATCTTCTCTACATTGGGAAAATACATGATATTTACTAATGTGATTTTTAAACATGTAGACAAGGATGAGTATATGTTTAATATTGTGGCAATTAACATGATATTCTTTCCTATTGACTTTGCTTCTGTTCTGTACAGATACCGGTGTATGTTCATGAATTGTCTATTGCAAAATTGAGGCTTTATTTGCTTGGTGACTGGGACTGCTAGACATCCCCATGTAACTTGATTATCACGCCTATATCCTTCCAACTTTGTGGGGTGCCTTACTACTTGGAGTGTCTTGCTCCACGTGCTGTTGGTGGCACTCTATAGCTATGTCTAAACTACATTCCTCTTTCAAAAGAGGAATGTAAATGAGCCTGAACGAAAATGCAGATGATGTGCCGATTTACAAATCTCGTGCATCATTTGCATAATCGTGGGAGCGCGCTTTTTCGAAAAAGGGTTTTTTGAGAAAGAAACCACAGTCTAGACGGGGTTCTTTTTGGGGGGGGGGAATCTTTTTCGAAAGACCCTGTACTCCTGATATAATGAGATTTATGGGTTCTTTTGACAAAGGGTATTTTTTCGAAAGAACCCTTTCTAGACTGTGGTTTCTTTTTTGAAAAACCCTTTCTCGAAAAAGCACTATCACGCAATTATGCAAATGAAGCATGAGATTTGTAAATCCGTGCTTCATTTGCATTTTCGATCGGGCTCATTTATATTCCTCTTCTGGAAGAGGAATGTAGTTTAGACGTGTCCTATGTATGACCTCCTGACTTTGTATTCCCTGGTGAGGTGGTGTGTTCTCAGGTCCACGTTCTCAGGATGCACTGACACATACATGGTTGGGCATTGTGATACGTGTGAATGTGCAAACATGTCTGACACATCACTGTGTTGTGTCCAGCTCTGTGGACATAGTTCAACTTTGTGTTTATTGTAACTAGATAGAGGAGGGTGTCACGACCTGCTTACAAAACCGTAAGGGTACAGATAATGCGGATGGGGCCAAGGTTAAAACTGCAAATCTATCCATCTTACTTCCTTACAAAGTAAGAAGGTGATTTGATACACGTTACGTAAGACTGTTCTAGTCACTCATTTATATGAGGAAAGGAACTACACATGTTCTCATGGATCAAGAATAAAAGAGCCTCCAGGATGAAATATTTTCAGCACTGTGCTAGTACATTTATTTGCAGATACATTTAATTATTTGTTTTAAGAAATGATAAAAATCTAATCTTATATTTTGCATATTTTTAAAAAGGTCGTAGAAATTTGAGATTAATTATGGAATATTTACCATATGGAAGTTTACGAGACTATATCCAAAAACACAAGGAGAGGCTGGATCACAAGAAACTTCTAATGTATACTTCTCAGATATGCAAGGTAAGAAAACCTTTTGATATTGTTAACCGTGTATATACCTGCAATCTGTTAGCAATGCTTCCTTCTAAAAGAATGATTACAAATACCTTATTCAGCAAATGAATATTTTGTTTTCATTGCCAATGTGGGTTCACCATTTGTAAGTACAGGCTGTACCTCCCTAAACTAGAACTATCTGGTCTGGCAACATCTGTGGTCCAGTAGGACCATGGATGTTACTGGACCATAGAGCCCAGGTATAAGGAGGTCAGGTTGCAAGGCTAGGAGCGCAGCAGGGGGACCCATGGCAAGCGGGGGG